CATATCCGATTAAAGAAGCTTTGGCATCTTTGTGGTAGAATAGGCCGAGATCAATTGTACCACGGAGATAACGGAATATGTGCTTGATCCCGTTCCAATGACGTCTTGTTGGACATGAGCTGTACCTAGCTAATAAATTTACAGAAAATGCAATATCTGGTTTAGTATTATTAGCTAAATACATTAAAGCTCCAATAGCACTCAAATATGGCACTTCGGGACCAAGTATTTCTTTGTCGTCTTCTCGGGGACGGAATGAATCATCGTGTATGTTGAGAGATCGAATGACCATTGGTGAAGTCAAAGGATGAGCTTTGTCCATATAGAATCTCTTCAACACTTTCTCGGTGTAATTGGATTGGTGAATGAAAATTCCATTCTTCAAATGCTCAATTTGAAGTCCGAGACAAAATTTGGTTCTCCCGAGATCTTTCATTTCAAATTCTTTCATAAGATATTTTGCAGTATTTTCAATTTCATCGGGAGTTCCAATAATGTTTAAGTCATCAACATATACTGCAATTATGGCGAATCCCGAATTTGATCGCCGAATGAAAACACATGGACTAATCGGATCATTCTTATATCCTTCTTTGAGAAGGTATTCACTGAGACGATTATACCACATTCGTCCAGATTGTTTTAGTCCATACAATGACTTTTGTAATTTAATGGAAAACATGTCTCGAGGTTTCGAGCTATAAGCTTCAGACATTTTAAATCCACCGGGAACTTTCATATAAATGTCTGTATCAAGTGAACCGTATAAATATGCGGTCACTACATCCATTAGGCGCATTTGCAGCCTTTCAAAAACAGACATGCCAATGAGAAACCTTAATGTAGTTGCATCAACTACTGGAGAATAGGTTTCTTCATAATCAATTCCCGGCATTTGAGAAAAACCTTGGGCAACAAGTCGGGCTTTATATCTAACAATTTCGTTCTTTTCATTGCGTTTACGCACAAATACCCATTTAAAACCCACAGGTTTTAAGCCTTTTGGCGTAGGGACTATCGGTCCAAAAACATCACGTTTTTCAAGTGATTTTAATTCAGCCTGAATAGCTTCATTCCATTTTGGCCAATCGTGTCGTTTCCGACATTCTTCTATTGATGTTGGCTCATTGTCATTGTTTTCATTCATAACATTTGTGGCAATGGCATAGACAAATATCTCGTTAATATCAATATCTTTTCGATTCCATTGCATTCCAGTAGAAACGTAATTTATTGAAATTTCATAATTATCAACGTTTCTATCAGTATCTGGAATATCTTCCTCATTTAAGGAAGTTGGATCATTATTTGAGATGTTTGTTCTGTCAGTATCATTTTCTATGCCAGTATTTTCAAATTGTTCATTTTCTTGTTCAGAAGGATGAACATCTTTGGCATCACAGATCAATTCCTGCCTTTTAGTTCTTCTTGGTTTTATGTCTTTTGATCCAAGGGGCCTACCACGCTTTTTGCGTATAGAAGAATCATTTGCAAGAGATTTTTCAAAATTCTCTGCTGGAATTTCGATTCTGGCAGGGGCATTCATAGCAGGAATATGTGACTTTGTCACTTTCTTTGTATCTGTGAATGCATCAGGCAACTGATTTGCAACATTTTGTAAATGGATTATCTTTTACACCTCTTGCTCACATATATTTGATCTAGAATCAAGGTGTGATAATCCTGTTGCATTCCATGTTATTTCTTTTGTACTTGGGTCCGATTTATTAGTTTCTCCCCCTAAGGTTGGGAATACTGTCTCATTGAAATGACAGTCAGCGAACCGTGCGGTGAATAGGTCACCAGTCATTGGTTCAAGATATTTGATTATTGAGGGAGATTCAAATCCAACATAAATTCCCAACCTTCTTTGAGGACCCATTTTTGTACGATGAGGTGGAGCAATCGGAACATAAACAGCACAACCAAATATTTTTATGTGTGCTAAGTTTGGCTCTTGTCCAGTAACTAATTGCATAGGGGAATATTCATGATATGCAGTCGGTCTAAGCCGAATTAAATTTGCTGCATGCAAAATAGCATGTCCACAAACTGATGAAGGTAAATTACACTTCATTAATAATGGTCTAGCGATTAATTGTAATCGTTTAATCAAAGATTCAGCAAGACCATTTTGTGTATGGACATGAGCAACAGGGTGCTCCACATCAATCCCAATCGACATACAATAGTCGTTAAATGATTGGGAAGTAAATTCTCCTGCATTATCAAGTCGGATTCTCTTTATAGAATGATCCGGAAAATGAGCTCTTAATCGTATAATTTGAGCGAGGAGTTTAGCAAATGCTAAATTTCTAGTCGATAAAAGACTAACATGTGACCAACGTGTTGAAGCATCAATCAACACCATAAAATATCGAAATGGTCCACATGGTGGGGCTATCGGCCCACAAATATCTCCTTGAATCCTTTCTAAAAATGCAGGTGATTCAGTTGCAATTTTGTTCATAGAAGGCCTGATGATCATTTTGCCAAGAGAACAGGCCTTACAAGGAAAATCCCTTGATATTGGAACCCTTATATTCTTTAATGGGTGTCCAAGTGAAGTCTTAATGATTTTATGCATCATTACATGGCCTGGGTGACCTAAACGGTCATGCCACAACATGAATGTTTTCTGATCATCTAACTTTGCGTTAGAAACCAAATTTATTTCGAATGGACTAATATGAGTGAAATATAGTCCTGAGGAATATGCTGGCATTTTTTCACAAATACATTTAGTGCCAGATTTAGTTGTCGTTACACAAAGATATTCCTTTTGGTTTTCATTCATGGTTTTTATGTGATAACCATTTTGACGCATATCTTTAAAGCTTAATAAATTTCTCCGCGATTTACTGGAGTATAAAGCGTCATTTATAAGTAATTTTGTCCCATTAGGGAGCATCACATATGCTTTCCCAGAGCCTTCAATGAGCTTCGCAACACCTGATATTGTATTGACTTTAGCTTCAACTAAAGCCATTTGAGAAAAATAGATTTTATTCCTCAAAATGGTGTGCGTTGTGGCGCTGTCTATCAGACATAGCTCTTTATCACTTGAGTGATCCATATCTTCAATATATAAATAAGCATAAGTTTGATATGCAAGTAACACAAATTATGCATCATATATAACATTAAAGTACATATATTACATCATTATTTATGAAAACAACATAAAGGTAACCTAAAGAAAAAGTACACGATGACATAAAAGTCTTATAATTTATTTTGTGTTATTTTGATCAGTGGCAAATGCATCATCCATTATGCTATCATCCATAAAGAAGTCGGACACATCAAATTTTGGCAGAGATGGAGTTGTGTCATTGACATAATTCGCTTCCACATTTTTGCCTTTGTTTAAATTCATGGAAGCTTGAAATAACTCCACAAGATGCTTTGCAGTACGGCATTTGTTAGCCCAGTGTCCCGTCATGCCACATTTGTAACAAGTCGTTTTCACCGAGGTTTTTGTAGGGCGATTTGTTTGATGGGCTTTTTGTTTGCCCTTGCCCTTGTAATTTGGCCTTTCGACCTGTTTGTATTCTCGGTGTGACTTGTTTTTATGACCATTAAAATGCCCACGTTTAAAATGCCTTCTACTGCCACTGTATGTTGCATTTGATTCAGTGGCAATGTTATGTCCGGATGGACCATAAATCGAAGGACTAGAACCAGTGGATCTCAGATTATGATTTTTCATCAAAAGGTCATTATTTTGCTCAGCGACCAATAAAACTGATATAAGGTCAGAGTATTTCTTAAAACCCATTTCTCTGTATTGCTGCTGTAGCAGCATATTAGAAATATGCATTGTAGAAAAGGTTTTCTCCAACATATCAGCATCAGTGACTTTTTGCCCACATAACTTTAGTTTGGATGTTATTTGGAACATAGCAGAATTATAGTCACTGATAGATTTAAAGTCCTGGAATCTTAGATTGATCCAGTCATATTGAGCTTTAGGCAAAAGGACCTTTTGCTGGTGGCCATACCTCTCCTGTAAATTGTCCCATAATTCTTTTGGGTCATCAACCAAAAGATATTCAGATTTGAGACTTTCATGGAGATGATGACGGAGGAAAATAATAGCTTTCGCTTTGTCTTGGGCAGATGACGGCTTATTTGCCTCAATAGTGTCTTCAAGACCATTAGCCTTCAAATGTGCTAAAGCATCAACTTTCCATTCCAGGTATTTTTGTCCAGACAGATCAAGAACATCGAATTCTCTTTTGCTTATATTTGCCATGATATACTACAAAATTTATTGACATAAATTATCATGCAATAATTATTTCAATTTATTATTTTAAAGTATAAAGCATATATAATAGTAATATACTATCGTATGTAAAGTACTAGTAAGTGAATAAATTTTTCAAGCTTTGACATATATGTAGTATGTAAAATCGTGATATGTATGATTTCAGTTTTGAACAACAGAAGTGAGCCTTTTTTTTTCAAAGTTGAATTACTAAATCGTTCAGTAGTTAGAACGAACAAAATTCATTGGCCTGTTTAAATTACATTATTTAACATATTCAATAGAGATATCATGAATTATGTTTAAAGAATAGATGACTTCTACTTATAATTGGTCATATGTTTTTAAAATCATCACATATATTTAAATTATAAACAAAATGAATTATACTCCGTAGAAGAAAATTAAAAGCTCTTCGGCAAGCTCAAAAATTAAGAGCAGATACACTAGCAAAATTGTATTTTATTCCGTACTTTATTTTCTTTTATTTTGGCAGATAAAAAACAAAAACTACTGTATAGCAATTGAAATACGATAGTATTAAATAGTCATCCTTATCTCAAACTTGTTACGTGGCTTATTACTATAGCATGCACTTCTTACATTTATCTTTTAATAATGCATTGGTATTTGGTTTAACTAGCTAGAACTCTAGAAGTAAGTCTAGAATATGATAATATATACTACTATTAACGGTGCATGCCAGTGAACAATAAAACAAAACCCGTGAGGACTGAATATTAAGACTGCTTCCTGCAACAAGCCCCGTGATATCTGCATGTCTAATAGATGAATGGTGCTCTGGTAGCTTAAATATTTTACTCCAATCTTTAGCTCATCTAGTCTTACTCCGGCAGTAGTGTATTAGTGTATATATCACCTATATTTTTTAATATCTTTAAGTTACGATAGTTTATCAAGATTGAGGAGAAGAACATATTCAAGGTACGTATGTTATACTTCCTATTATCTTTTAGTGTATAAACAAATATGTAGTAAAATTTTAATTTTGGACAGTCACATATATACTCCGTAATATACTTTTCTAAATTTCATTATAATTTTACTTTGGCCGGAATATTAAGTAATGAGAACATAATAGTACATAATTATGTTCCTACTTGCAGGAAGATGATTTCTTGAAGATGCTTGAGCTGATTCGTGCTGATAACGTGTTGTGAAATGAAGAAGATGAAGACTAAATAAAGAGATAGATATATTGATAAAAAACTCTAAATAACTTCTTCTTAATAATCTCTGAAATTTTCTGAGTTTCTGAATTGCTTGAATTACATTTACAAAGGATTCATCACCCTATTTATACTAGTAGACTAGGAGATGAATCATCAAAGAATGATTCTACATAATCTGTTGGCAACACTAAACCTAGCCATCTGTCTATTACAAGGATTGAACTTGGATTAGTGTGACAAGAATGGACATTCACACATGTCATTTTGATGATTTTACAACATATTTAAATTTCTTTGTGATTACTATAATGTCGCTGTCTTTCTCACGTAAAATTTGATTTCTCCCATTCTTTTATTGGTCGATGGCCAAAACTGATTCTTGTCTTTCAAATTTGGCATCTTCCAGGCATAGTTCTTTGTCAGTTTTTCGATTTCTGATTTCCTTCGTTGGATTTATGGATCGCTGGACTGGAATTCTGAAGGTGCCATTGTACACAAGCAGCATCAAAACGTACTACCGGGTTGCGGCGTCCCTCCGCCTATCTCCTTCTCCCAACACGTTTGCTGTAATCAATTCTTCCTTCGTATATTCCGTTCGAGTTATCATTCATCTGAATTGATTAGTTGAATCCAGTCGGTCTTTTTCATTAAACCCTCAATCTCCCCCTATATTCTGAAATAAGTCACCAGGATTGTGTCTGTTTTTGATTCGTTGACAATATGGTGAAATATTGAGTTTTTGCTAATGAGTTAGGTACCTGCTGCAAATGCTATATTTTTCAGTGGAGATCGAGTTGAAGGGAGTGGGAATCCTGTAGTTGAGAGGCTGTCGGATTTGCGGAGAGTTGCTGAAATTTTGATTTCTAAATTTGGGGATACTACCAATGCTTGGGTGGTCGAACCGCCCATATTCAATGGCCCTTTCGGTGTTTACAAGAACTTCATCCCTTCAATTAATGATTCTGGAGAGCCAAAAGTTTATGAGGCAAAGGAGTTCCCAGCATCTTCATCTATTGTCTTGCTCTTGTGGAATTGCCTGAAATAAGCAGAAGACTACATGTTTGCCCCATCTCCAAAAACATGTTTACTTGAAAACGCCTTATAAAAACGAACTGCAAATTCCAAAGCTCCAAATCTTGAACTGTTTGTGATTAGCTATTTCTTTTTCCTTTAGATTATCCTTTTTCAAGAATATTCCTGCATAAAGTATATATTTTTCAAAATCTGATGTAACCTTTTATGAGTTATTGCCATCAATAGCAGACTCTCCTATCGTTTTTGTTCAACACTTCAATAGCTCTTCCAACAGATGTGCTTTTCCTAAATGTACTATTTTCTGAAGAAAAAAATTCTAATAGAGCCTTAGGGTGTGGATGAAACTTTGCATTTAGGGTTTGGAAGGGAAGGCTTTGGAGGACTTGGGATGTTTTTACTTGGATTGTTTTTAATCCCAGTTATAAAATAAAGAGAGACCGGAAATTTACCGGGCCAGACCAGTTCAAAGCAGATCAGACTAAAACAGAGACTTGGCAGACCAAACCAGAAAATTTATGTCCAATTTAAAACATTCTTACTCTATATCTTGATATAAATATGATATTTTATAAAACTTAAAGGTTAACATAATGATTTAATGTTATCTGACCATTCGATTAGCATTTAATACTTATATCGGACCAGAGTGACCAATGAGATATATAAGTGATTTTCTCTGACAATTGTTTCTCTACAAGGCTAAAAATGTCACTGCAGGGAAGAAGCTAAAACAACCTTTCACTGCTGAGCCTCAGCGGATCCAGGATTTCTATTCAAGGGGGCGAAATTTTTCGGTAGTGTAGGGGGTGAAAAAAAATTCATTAGTGTAGTGGGGCGAATTTTTTTTCCCTAGTGTAGCGGGGCGAATTTTTTCCGCTACTGTAGGGCTATGCGGCTAATTTTATTCAAAAAATGACATTAATACATACACATCCCCAACGACATTTAAATCTATTAAGTAGTACATTCTAAGTTTAAATTAGACGATGACAAAGACATCAACCAATACATTTTTAATAACTTCTACATTGTTTAACCTCATGAATCGGTTATTATTGAATTGTAATTTTTGTTCGGCCACCAAGGATGGTGTTCGTGAGTCATGACTCATGAGAAGTTTTCTTAATATTACAATAGTAGTATGTATGATATTATTATTTTTAGAATAATATGCACCACATACACACACATATACGGTGCATATTATATTTTAATATTTGTATTAATGCTATAATAATTTAAAGTTTATTATCTATGCAATAAATTATTTTTAGAAAGCAAGAAGTAAATGAATTATGTAATTTAATGTCAATAAACATTTATATTTTGGATTCATTTCACGTGATCTAAAAACTGTGTAATTAGTGTGTCTGATATTTAATATTGTTTGATATATATTTTACAAAATCAAGTACTTGTTATCTAATAAAGATAATTAAACATTACAAAACTAGGAATTCTTATATAATAAGTATCCTAAATCTTAAACAACGAGTTATTCTATTGTTTATTTGTTTAAGTTATGTAATTATTTTAGATGTTCCTTCTTTTAAATCTTCAATTAAGCATTACATTATGTAACACTATATATTAATTTTGAAAATTAAAAGCTAAGGGGGCGAATCTAATTAAATTATGAAAGTTTAATGAAAATATTACATATATGGTAGAAAATTTTGAAATTCCAAGGGGGGGCGGTCGCCCCCCGCGCCCCCCCCTAAATCCATCCCTGTGCTGAGGTGTCCACACTGCCTTCTTATGACAAACCTAGGACTATACTCCTAGGTTTTAGTAAGGGCGGGATCATACTTAACCAGCTTCTTGCCGAGCTTGCCCTCTCCCCAGCTCACCCCCCTGAAGATAAAGACCCCCAAGCAAACAAAGACGAGATCATACCCACTTCCAAAGAAAGTTTTCTAAACAGCATAGCCGAGTTCCACTACGTTGATGTTGGTTTGAACAGTAAAGGAGCATACATCACCGACCAAGATGTGTTTGACAAAATTTCTGAACGATTTGATAAAGGAGCGCCTGGCATTCGGTTTTTCTTACATGGGACTCCCAGGCAGTGGAATGATGTCAGGCGAAGTTGGATTAGAAAAGAAAAGGATGAACTCTTTCGGCTTCTTGAAGGAGTTGCTCATAGAAACATAGGGAGATTGCATATTCGTGAGAGGTTGTATTTTGGTAACATGCCCCCAAATTTGCAGATGCATTTTGAAATCATTGAGCGTCTGGATGTTAGCTGAGTTTATTCCTATGTTGCAATTTTATAATGCAAGAAAAGATGTATATAGAACAAGATTATATTATACGTAGTACTTTATAGTAATTTTACAATGTCACATGTTTCATGAGGTGCTAGACAACAATGGTGGGGTGGCAGTAGGGTGGATTTGGGCCTGTTCCCGACGTCCCGTCCGATTAGAGTTCCGCACCGGCTGGTTCCCCTCACTGACCCAGCGACCCCTAGAGCCGAGATTGGAATTGGACTGGAACTAGTAGGTTGTCGAGTGGAACCAATCATGAGTTTGACAGGTTCCAGATCCATTTTCTAGTTCCGGTCTTTTTAAAGAAACCTCGTTGGGATAGTTTACCCTTATGATTCTGGAATTGGAATCGGTCTACCCAATAGTGGGAACTGGGAAGTGGGAGAGAACAGTAAATTAGTAAGATATCTTGGATGTCATTAAGTGCTCGTTTGATTTAATATTTTAAAGATACATTTTTCTTAAGTAAAATGTTATTGATTCCATTTGTTATTTAAAAGAATACTTCAATACTCTATTTGGGGAAGGCTGAACTTTAACCACAATGAGCTTAGTGCACGTGGGTTTAGACAAATATATTGTTTGGAAAGTGATTAGTTTAATCTAGGTAAGTGCAATAAAGTGCTACTCCATCCGTCCTGCTGACGTGCACTTTGTCGTGAGTGCACTCAAAATAAATCGATACTAACACTTATACGTAGTATAGGTGAAGTAGAGTTCGTATCCACAGGGAAAGAAATAACTTTCTTTTTATATAAATAGTAAATAAAGGGGGGTTTTGATTGTTGAGTGATTTAATTAAATTAAACACGAAGATGAACGATTTATATGGGATAAGAATAAAAGGGACTTGGTCTTGCTACTTTCCACTTGTTGATATATTTTAGTCGATCATTGTTATGTCTATAACTTATCCCCTCTCGAATACTCAATCGAGGAGTATATCCAATTCATCGAGGGTAGTTATTAACAACAACCGTTCATTAATAACCCTTACTATTAACCAAATATAGAACAACGCCGTATACCGATTTAATAGTAGCATTTAACCTCTTTAACTCCTTGATGAAATCAATTGAGATTGATAACCTCAACACAACGGTTTCGGTTTAACCAACAAAATTAATCCCTCTTAAGTTTATTAACCACGACCGTGCGATAATAAACCGAAGTTACTTACTTGTGAAACCATCAACGTTTAACCATCGGTTCGTTGATCGTTTCTAGTAATAATCAATGTTGGAACGTTAACTAATCGTCACTTAGCCACCCTCCAACATTCATATAGAGATAGATTAAGGGAAGAATTAATAATCAAAAGGAGAAAGTAAGAAAATAACTCACAACTTTAATAATCAACAAGCTTCAAGAGCAAAACCAAGAAATGGAAGTTTAGCTCCTCATTTGGAGACTAAACATGCTAAAAGAAATATAGAGAAATGCTATTCTAAACTGAGCTTAAGAGTATAAAGGAATTGGTGTTTTTCTTGTGGAGGAAATGGGGTGTATTTATAGGCTTTTTAGGCCTGCAGGGTCGTGTACCCGATCGAGTTTTTAGCTCAACCGATCGGGTAAGGGTTAGTTTCCTCGAAACTGAAATTCTGGGGTCATACCCGATCGGGTATGTCGGCTACCCGATCGGGTATGGATACGCGATCGAGTTAGAAAATCCTCCTGCATGTTGCCTTGTTCCCGGATTTATCCGATTTGACTTTTCAGCAACTTACCCGATCGCGTATAGGGCATACTCGACCGGGTACACTACCAAAAATCAGAATCTTCATCTTTTCTTGAAATCTTTGCACTTTCCTTCCAATTGTGATGTTCACCAATGGTCCCTAGAGTGGTCTTGGACCTGTTTGAGCTCAGAACCAACCTAATCTAAACAATTTACAAACATTTTACAAACTAAACTATTACACCAAAAGTGTGTAATTTCTAGAGTAACAATCACTCAAAACTTAATCAAAAGCACAATTATAAACATGGAAATAACATGAATGTCAACTCCCCCACACTTAGTTCCTTTACTCGACCTCGAGTAAAACCAAATGTTTACAAAATGTTTGTCAAAAGATCATGAGTTCAGAATTTGGAAGAAATAAGGAATTAAAACCACCAAGTATTGTAAATGAGTTTACAAAATAACATCTCTTTGGGTTTAATGGTCTTCTATGCCTCTTACTTCTTTTTCTCTTCTTCTTCTTTTGTTCTTCTTCTGCCTCTCCAAGAGATAGTGTCCTGCAAAAACAAATTTTTCTCTCATATCTCTCATTTTGCCTAGGAGCCTTTTCAGGTTTTCATCCTAGCATCTCTTTGTTTTTTTTTTTTTTTTTTTTTTTCTTACCCCTCACTCATCATTTTTGTAAGCCCTTGTTGCTTAGATTGCCCTTTTGGGTTTTCAACCTAACTAGCATTTCATTTCTTTTATTACTTTTTTTTTTTTTTTTTTTTTTGTGTACAACTAAAACAAGAAAAGTAATGCGTAGTACAAGGTAAAAACAAAGGAGTGTACATACCAAAAGATGATCTTCCTCCCCCACACTTGAATCATGGCACTATCCTTAGTGCCCGCCCTCTCCACCATAGTAGCCTCCGCCAAAACCGCTCCCATGCATGTCATCACCTCCTCCCTCGCCCATGGTAGTGTCCCCGCCATCATAACCACCACCGCCGGAACTCGAGCCGCCAAAATTACCCCAATCGGAGGGGTTGTACCAAGAAGGTGCCGGTGGAGGTGAGGCCATGGAGGCAAACCCGCCAAGTTGGGACATGTATGAATATGTCGGCCCATACATCCTCCGGTAGTCTTCTTCATACCTTTGCATGTCGGCCGCCCTTTGCTCCTCCATCCTTTGAAAAGCCAACCGTTGCTCCTCCCGGTAAGCATCAAATTGCCGGTCTCGTGCTTGTTGCTCGTTCCGGTAATGGCCTATTTCTCCTTGAAGTTGGGTGAATTGCTCTCCCATTTTGGTGTAATCAAGGCTCATTGTTTGGAACCCCGGCTAGGAGGGATTGTTGACCCTCCAAGAGTTGTTGGAAAAAGTCTTGTGGTGGCGGATTTTGAGGAGGGTCGGGGATGTCATGTTGGAAGTGTCCATAGTCCTCTTGGTGTGCGGGTTGTTCCGGTTGGGGATTGGGTTGTTCGGCTTGGTCGGCTTGGTCGGCTTGGGCTTGGAGATGGGGTGGAATGTTATTGGGGAGGAGGTAATGTGGGATGTGGGCGGGTTCCATCTTATACCTAAGTCTAGGTAACTCATCGCAAGGGAGGGGGAAGTATTTGACCGGTTCGGGGTACTTCATATGCCATTTATATTTTTGGTTTCCGTTGTGGTCTTTGTTACCCAAAGAGATCAATTGTGCATTGGATAACCACCCAAGATGCATCAATGAATCTCTAGAGATTGTGGCATTATCCACATAGCCAAACTTGGAAGCCAAATGCATGATAACACCCCCTACAACAATGTTCCCCCCTTTCGTGATAGCCTTTTGTAGATGATCCCAAATCAAGTTGCAAATGTTGAACTCAACGGGATTGCGGAAAAGAGCAAGAGTGAGAATGGCTACATCCCCTATCCGAGTGTGATGGTTGTTGGGGCGGCCAAGTAAAGAGTTGCACAAAAACTTGAGGAAAATTCGGAGAAGGGGATGTTGCACGTGACTAATGTATAGTTGAGACGTGCTAAAATTCCGTTCTCCGGTCATTTTACCCCAAAGATTATAAGCATCCATGGTGTTGTCCGGAATCTCCCTTTCATGTGGGAATCGGAGCCCAAAGTGTTCGGCAAAATCACGTCTCGTTATAGTGTATTCGGTATTCATCAACCGAAACGTGATAGTGTCATCATAAAAATGATTTTCATCCAATGCAAATTTGGCCGAGCTCAAAAATTCATAGATGATTCTTTCATTACAATTATATTGCAAGTTAAAAATCAAGCCCATATGCAATTCATCAAATAGTTCTCTCATACCATTTAACAAGCCAAGAGAAGTAAGAGCGTCATGGCATAAGAACCGAGATGGGATAACTTGCCTTTTGAGAGCGGTCACAAATCGCTTCCGATGATCCCCCGGGCCAAATTGAACATCCTCGTAGCCTCGAATAGGTCCCCTTGAGTTAGAGCCCTCCGGTTGGTTCCTCTTTGGTGCCATTTTTGAGTAATTCTTGAGTATAGGTTCGGACTTGGGATTTGGGGGTAGGGTTTCGGAGTTTTGGGAATAGGGAGAGAGGGTGAGATTGATTGGTATGAGGTTGTAGAGGGGAGTGAGGGGAGTGTTTTGGTGGTGATTTGATGGAATTTGGTTGAGTTTTGGTTGAGTTATGGGAGAAATAAGGTTTGAAAATGGAGTTTGTAGAGAGAGAGTTCGAATTTGGGGCAAGAGCTTTGGAGAAGATGAACTGATTTCGGCTCAAAAATGTCTTTAAAACTCGTGTACCCGATCGGGTACCCCGATTACTCGATCGGGTATACCTCGGTTTGTTCTTGTTTCGGGATTGGGCTCGATCGAGTATACCCCGTACTCGATCGAGTTTTGGCCGCCGTAGGTTTTTCTGGAAATATACTCGATCGAGTATATTAATTTACTCGATCGGGTATTTGGCGGATTTTTAAATTTGGCTCCAGGGGTCGATTACCCGATCGAGTATGAGGTATACCCGATCGAGTATTCGATCATTTTTTTTCTTTTAGCCGATCGAGTATGGGGTACTCGATCCCCCTTCTTCCCCTTTTTACTCTATACTCGACCGAGTAGGACTGTTACTCGATCGGGTACATTAGCCTGGAATTCTTGTTCGGTCCATTTTAATCCTCTTTTCGGCATGGATCCGATCGGGTAACTGATGACGACCGATCGGGGGTTTCCCCATGCCTTGAAAATATTATTTTTCCCTCATTTTCTGTTTGAGAATTTCCTCCTATTCTCCCAAAAGTTGACATTCAAAAACAAAACATTGAAAAGAAAACATACCTTGCATGGGTTGCCTCCCAAGAAGCGCTTTATTTAACGTCGTGGCTCGACGATATCTTCGTTATTCTTCACTCATAGACCGGTTCAGAAAGGTCCATGACTTCCACATTTTTGGGTTGAAAACCCTCAAAGAAGGGTTTTAATCTTTGTCCATTCACCTTGAGTACTTCTCCCGTCCCCATGTCTTCAATTTCCACCGCCCCGTGTGGATATATTTTGACCACTTTGTATGGTCCTGTCCAACGAGATCTCAGCTTTCCTGGAAATAGACGAAGGCGTGATTGAAAAAGGAGGACTTTGTCATTAAGTTTAAAGTCCTTCCTTATGATCATCTTATCATGCCAAGCCTTCGTCTTTCTTTTGTAGGTCTCCGCGTTGTCATAAGAGTCCAAACGGAGTTCTTCCAATTCTTGCAATTGGAGTTTCCTATGCAAACCGGCCTCGTCAAGATTGAGGTTGAATTCTTTTACCGCCCAATACGACTTGTGTTCGAGTTCTACGGGAAGATGACAAGCTTTCCCAAACACAAGTCTATAAGGGGACATACCGATTGGAGTTTTGTAGGCGGTTCGGTATGCCCATAGTGCATCATCAATGCGTATACTCCAATCCTTCCGATTTGGGTTCACTGTTTTCTGGAGTATAGACTTCAACTCCCTATTTGAGGTTTCCGCTTGGCCATTGGTTTGAGGGTGGTAAGCAGTGGAGATCTTGTGAGTCACACCATATTTTTTTAGTAGGGATCCCACAATTTTATTACAAAAATGTGTGCCTCGATCGCTTATTAAAATTCGAGGAACCCCAAACCTAGAAAATATGTGTGATTTTAGGAAGCTAGCCACCACCTTGGCATCATCAGTTTTTGTGGCTTTAGCTTCCACCCATTTAGAGACGTAATCCACCGCAAGGAGAATGTAGATGTTACCTTGAGAGTTCGGGAAAGGTCCCATGAAGTCAATACCCCATGCATCGAAAATTTCACAGAAAAGCATGGGGTTTTGTGGCATCTCATTTCTCCTTGAAATGTTGCCCGCTCTTTGACAATTGTCACAAGATTGACAAAAGCCATGTGCATCCCGGAAAAGACTTGGCCACCAAAAGCCACTTTCAAGTATCTTCATTGCCGTCCGTTTCGGGCCGAAATGCCCCCCACAAGCATAAGAATGGCAAAATTCTATAATGTGAGCTATCTCATATTCAGGGACACATCTTCGGATTATTTGATCCTTACAATGCTTCCACAAATATGGGTCATCCCACACATAGAGTCTTGAGTCCATTTTCAATTTTTCTTTTTGAGATTTTGAGAATTGTGGGGGAAATTTGCCGGAAACAAGAAAGTTTACAATGTTTGCGTACCACGGTTGTATGACTTTGATGGAGAAGAGAGTCTCGTCCGGAAATTCGCCTTTTATGAGATTGGTATGGAGACTTTCGATTTCTTTGTTTGGAACCAAGCGGCTTAAGTGATCGGCCACCAAGTTCTCCGCTCCTTTCTTGTCTTTGATTTCTATGTCAAACTCACTCAATAGAAGGACCCATCGAATGAGTCTTGGTTTGGCTTCCTTCTTTGTCATAAGGAATCTAAGAGCGGCGTGGTCGGTGTATACAATAACTTTCGTTCCAAGAAGATAGGAACGAAACTTCTCCAAAGCAAAGACCACCGCTAGCATTTCCTTCTCGGTGGTGGAGTAGTTCTTTTGAGCTTCATTGAGGGTTGATGAGGCATAGTAGATGACATGAGCAGCCCTTCCAACCTTTTGGCCTAAAACAGCCCCTACCGCATAATCACTTGCGTCACACATGATCTCAAAAGGAAGAGACCAATCGGGAGCTTGTATGATGGGGGCGGTCACCAATCGTGATTTTAAAGTGTCAAAAGCTTCTTTGCATTCATCATTGAGATCAAATTCAACCTCCTTTTGCAAAAGTTTGCATAGAGGAGATGAAATTTTTGAGAAGTCTTTGATGAATCTCCTATAGAAACCGGCGTGACCAAGGAAGGAGCGGATGTCCCGTACATTTGTTGGGTACGGGAGTGTTTGGATGACATCAATTTTTGCCTTGTCCACTTCAATGCCCTTTGAGGAGATCACATGCCCAAGAACAATCCCTTGTTCCACCATAAAGTGGCATTTTTCAGAATTGAGAACAAGGTTGGATTCAATGCAACTTTTGAGCACAAGAGTGAGATGATAGAGGCAAGTGTCAAAAGAGTCCCCATGGATTGTGAAATCATCCATAAATACCTCCATAAATACCTCCACAAATTCGGAGAAGATGCTCATCATACATCTTTGAAAGGTACCCGGTGCGTTGCATAATCCAAAGGGCATTCGTCGATAGGCAAAAGTGCCAAATGGACATGTGAAGGTTGTTTTCTCTTGGTCCTCCGGGGCTATTGGTATTTGGAAATACCCGGAGTAACCATCGAGAAAACAATAGAACTTGTGCCCCGCTAGCCTCTCTAGCATTTGATCAATGAAGGGCAATGGAAAGAAGTCTTTTCTAGTTACCGAATTGAGCCTTCGGTAGTCAATGCAAACTCGCCACCCGTTTTGAATTCGGGTGGGTACCATCTCGCCTTCTTTGTTCTCAATGACCGTCACTCCGGTCTTCTTTGGCACCACTTGGGTTGGACTCACCCATTTGCTATCGGAGATGGGAAAAATGATTCCCATTTGAAGTAGTTTGATCACCTCCTTTTTCACCACCTCCATCATGGGTGGGTTCAATCTTCTTTGCGGTTGCCTCACCGCCTTGGCCTCATCTTCAAGTAGGATCCGGTGCATGCATGTGGATGGACTAATGCCTTTGATGTCGGCAATAGACCATCCAATGGCCAACTTGTACTCCTTGAGGACCGCAATCAATCTTTCCTCTTGTTCTTGGGCTAGGGAGTTTGAG